TGAAATACCTCATTTGGTGTACACGGTATTTCAGAAGTGAAAACCCCCTCGACCATATCGAGACAATTTTATTGTTAGATGGTCTGCCATCTCTTCTCAGTATTCGGCAATCGGATACAGCCGTAAAAGAGTGAAAAGGCGGTCTTGAGGAAGGCCATGAACCGATCCGCCGCGGTGGACCCCCGGCAGACAGCGAGGAGGCTGAGGGAAGCCCACCACTCGCTCCCGCCGCTCGCGCGTGTGTGTAGCATGGTAGTACAAACAAAACTTAATCTAATAAAAGAAAACATCCCGAAAAAAAATGGAAAAAAGCGAAGCCCATCCCCAGCCCAGCATAACACGGGACGGTAAGAGGATTATCTGAGGAGTCAGCACAGCAGCGTATACTTGCGCGAGAGCGGCGTACACGGGATCGCAAGGGATTATAGCGACGGGCAGCGCGCTGCAGCGCCGGCCGGACGGAATCAAACAGAACAATATCCGTGTAATCTTGTCTCTCCAGGAGGACCCGCGCTGGTCGGGGCCCGGGCCTCGGCCACCTGAGATAGACCCCGCCAGATAAGGCTTTCGGTGTCATGGAGTTCAGATGCGCCCGAGAAATCAAATTATATTTTTTTTCAGCTTTTCTTCAGCAACATTAGAGACAAATTTTATGACTTACCAAAGCATATTTGAAGATTTAAAAACACATACGACACCTACTGTTTGTGTCTTCCTTCCCTTAATAAATTTAATTTTCTTTAACGACGAGCTCTCTTTGCAACCAGTCAGAATCCCCCAAGTGGGACGTTTACAGCAGGCCGAAACAGGTCCTAAGGCAGCAACAGTGGGGGCTTTCCCACCTTTAGATTTTCAGTCGCCAGCTGTCAGCCCGGGTGAGGAGACGCCTGGGAGGTAGGCAACTCTTACAGGCGTGCGCGTTGGTTGCCTACCCCCACGGCGCCATAGATACGATCAGCAAGACGCGCCTGAGCGGGAGGTGCATCAGATAATTGAATGTGCCCCCATGGTCTCTCGCCTTGCCGCTCACCGGAACAGCTGACTGTTCCGACTGTTCCGTCCCCTGCGGCGCGCCCCGAACTCGTCCGCGCCCCCGCCACGGGCGGGCCGTGAGTCAGAGTCCCGCCCGCCGCCAGATGGGATGACACAGGGCTTCCGAACGGGGAGGGAAGGAGAAAATTGAGCCACGAGGAAGGGCAGCAAGGGCAGCGAGGGCAGCAGGGCGAGGGTTGGGACAGGGGGCCATGTACGGCCAAAACTGTAAAGGGCATGTCTTGTCCGGACACATGCTCTGGCCGCACCCGCACTTTGTCCATGCTCGCGGCGCCGAGGTGCTTCCCCTCGCAGTACTTGTCCTGCTTCGGACAGATTACACGCGCGCTGGGTGCAGCCGGGGGGAAGGGCCGCGCATGGACCGGGATGTCTGCAAGAACAAGGACAACCGGGCCAAAACTTCCCTTTTGTCGGCCGAGTCGGCCGACCTGCTCTGCTGAAACTCGGCGTCACCGTCACGGGCGGTATGAAAAATTGAATAGGTGACACATTTTTTTTTACAATCTTTTGTATCCCCCAAAGTCCCAAATCGAAACTCCCAGACAAGAGCGTGGCAACCCTATTTCTATACTTCATTTCAAAAAGGTCGCGAAAAAAAAGTTGCCAAATTTCTTCCACTTTAGAAGTCTACAACTTCCGACTGCGAGAAGCCACAGTGGCTTTGTCGCGCAAGATAAGCATGATGGCTCCCACACCGCAAGTGTCGCCCCCGGTAACCCGACGCCCATAACCAATACGGGGCGCACGGGGGCGACGAGACTCGTGTCCGCGACACGGCCCGCCCGGGCTTCACCCTGGGAGTAGATGCGGTCTTCCCTCCCTCCCCAGCAGCAGAAGGGCCGTCCGCTGACAGATAGTTGGGGGCAGAAGGGTCGACCGAGCAGTTTGTTGTTCCGGGTCATCGGAGGGCGGGGAGCTCGGCCAGCGGGTGCAGCCGCGCCGCCCGCGCCCGCCCACACGCAGCGCATGACCCGCGCGGGCACGCGCCGCCCGGCCGCGACCCGCCCCAACCGCACGGAAGTGGACGCGCCCGGCCCGTGAAATGGAACCACGAGCCGTAATGACCCTGTCGCGGGCTCATTCGACGACGTCATTATGTACTTCCAAGGGGGAGGAGCGCGGTGACCAATTCGACGAAGAATCGACGATGTGTGGGAAATGATGGTCATTTCCCCCACATGCGCGAGTAGTTTGTGAGCGGGCCCGGATCCCGCGGATGGAATGATCGACTAATACGCAGAAACGAGGAAGCAGAGGGTGCCGTGCCGTACCAGCCTGGTCACCGCCACCTGCATGGAGAGCTCCACACTCGGTGTTGCTCCCTCTCACTCTCTCTCTCTCTCTCGGGAGAGTGCGGCACGCACCCATCTACAGAATCGATATGAAGGGGTTGTGGCAGCACGCGAAGCAGCAGCAGCACCCCCTCCCCCTCTATTCGCAGCTGCCCTGGCCGCCCGGGGTTGAACAATCAGCACCGATAAGCCCTCGCTGATAACGCGCAGACGAAGCGAGAGAGAGAGAGCGATAGAACGCGGGGGGTGGCGAGCGAGAGAGCGAGGCGCTGCACTCCGGCGGGCTGTCAAACGTTTTGACGCGTCCAAATCTCATCCATCAGAAATGCGCGAGTGGGGAGTGCAGAGGGGAGCAGCTGCAGCGGCGTTAGTCAGCGCGATGCGGCGGCCACCAGTGCATGCTAAGCCCTGTACTGCCGGCTCTCACCCCCGCAGCCCCGTGCAGCGCAGCAGCAGCAGCACAGCAGCAGCACAGCAGCAGCACAGCAGCAGCGCAGCAGCAGCTTTGCACGGCTAATCGACCGGGAAGGGGCGCGGGGGGTCGAACAGGGGGGCCGGAGGGTAGTGGGGGTAAATTACGGAGAATGTGGCTTGGGACGTCGCGCAAACTCGCCCTTCGTGAACGTACTTCAAGTGCTACACAAGAGAAGCTACAGTGGCTCTGACTACAAGCCGATTTTAACTATGCGTGCCAGGTTTAGTTTGGGCCGTCCGTGCAGACTCCTACTACATTCTGCTGACGAGTTCCAATCTGTGATACAAGAGCAGCAGAGGGAGTTGAATTGGCGAATTACTTTGCACGAGTTTTCACGTTTCAAACAAACAAATCCCGTCATTACGTGCCACGCGGGCCGAAGGGTGGGGAGGGGGAGGGGT